TATATATATATATATAATTCTCTGTTATTTGTATCTTCTCCAAAGATAATTGCTCATTATCTAGGAGTGAACAAATGAGATGATACCTTAGCTAAATGTGATTCGCCCAAGTATGAAAGGCGGCATTCTTTGCTAAATAAATGGCACTCATACTGTTACTATGAAGCTTTCCATTCACTTTCTCCTTGCCCAATTCTATCATAAATCTCTGTAACCAAATTATTTCCTTGCTAACCTCAATGATAGTAATATACTTTGCTTTTGAAGTTGATACTGCAAGAATCTTCTGCAATATGGAAACCTAACTGACTATTCTGTTCCCCAAAGTGAAGATGTAACATATTGTACTTCTTCTATCATCATTATCTCCAGACAGATCTGAATCTACATATCTCTTTAGATCAATCCTTATATTTCCAAAATAAAGTGTTTTGTTGATTGTTCCTCTCAAGTATCTGAAACTTTACTTCACTGCCTCCCAATGATATTTTATTGTATTACTTATATGCATATTGACTACTCTCACTACATATGCAATGTTTGGTCGTGTCATATCACATATATCAAACTTCCAACAGTTGAAGAATAGGAAGTTCTTTTCATTAGTGCTTGCCCGACTTCAGACTTAAGTGACGTTCCTTAGATAGTATAAAGTGACCGCTAAGGAGATGTAAACTAATTTTGCTTCGCTCATGTTGAATCTGTGTAAAATCTTCTCAACATATTGCCTGAGACAACTTCAATATACTTTCACTCATGTACCTACTAATTTTTATGTTGAGAATTTTCTTGATCAGGTATAAATCTTTCATTTCAAACTCACTTAATAATTGTTATTTCAAATCTATAATTATCTCGATATCTGCTCAGACAAGCACCATGTCGTCCATAAACAAAAGTACAATATAATAACCATCAAATTGTTTAAAGAAGCAACAATGATCTGTTTGAAACGTTCTACATCCATTATCTAACATAAAACTATCAAATTTCATGTACCATAACTTTGTTGTTTACTTCAAAACATAAAGATTCTTCTTCAATCTACAAACCATATCTTATTTTCTTAAAATATCATATCTCTATAGTTGCACCATATACAATTCTTCGTCTAAATAATAATGTATGAATGTTGTCTTTACATCCATCTATCCTAGATGTGAAACTTCTTATGCTACTAAGTTCAAAACAACTCTGATAGTTGTCATCTTTACTATGGGAGAAAATATCTCTGTGTAATTAATACATTCCTTTTGCTGAAATCCCCTCACAATAAGTCCCATCTTGAGGCGTTGTTACCATTTGATTCTTCATTCAACATGTAAACCCATTTGTTGCACATAGTCTTTTCGTCAAACGGTAATTATGCCAATTTCTATATCTGATTTGACATTAATGACATCATCTCATCATCCATGACAAACTCCCACTCTTTTGAGTCTTTAATTTGAATGATATCATCATAACAATGTGGTTCACCACTATCAGTTAGCAATAAATAATAGAAAGGAGGATAACCCAGTATCAGTCTTGTGATTTTGCCAGACTTCCTGACTTGAATAGAAGGCATCTAAGGAACTTCCTGTGCTTCATCAGATTGAGTATCTTCTTTCTCCTTCTTTCTGATCACCGGTTCTTTTATCTCAACATATTTAGCAGGGTATTAAAAGTAACTGGTAGACAATCCTAAATAATTATAGTTGCATCCTTACTCTTACAGAATTTTTTATTCAGATAGTCTCAGAATTTATAACCAAATTCATATGAGTCATACCTAAGATAATCCTGAGTTTTATTTCTGTTCTTGTACACTCCATTTCATTGAATGAAACATCTCTACTCCTAATAATTTTTTTATTTTGATAGTCTCAAAATTTCTAAGTAAATTCTTTTGTGTCATACCCAAAACAATCATGAGTTTTATTTTGTCCTTGTACATATTCATTTCATTGAAAATGACTGTTATGCTCCTAATGATTTTCTGATTATGATAACACCAAACCTTATAACCAAATTCATAGGAGTCATGCCCAGTGAAATAATAATTAACAAATTTTGAATAAAGCTTACTCCTGAATCCGACATTAACATGAACATATGATGAACAATTACATATTTTCATTTGAGATAGATTTACCTCTGTACTCCAAGCTTCTTCAACTAAACATTCATTCAAAGGTACTTACGAATCACGATTTATCACATAAAATGCATTATTCAATACTTCTTTCTAAAATTATTTTGGCAAGCAGGCATGCAACCTCATACTCCTGGCAGGCTTTATGATAGTTACAGTCATGCGCTGAAAAATTATCATTTTGTTGTGGTGTTCTTAGAACAATGAACTTATATCTGATTTTCCTAGAAGCACAATAACTCCTAAACATCATGATACTCCTCACCATTATTTGATCTGAGACCATTCAAGCTTAAACATATCTTATTCTCAATAATAATTTTCATTTTTTAAGGACTTCAAATACATCAGATTTATGTTCAAGAAGTATACACATACATTCATAGTATCATCATAAAAGTAACAAAATATTGAGAACTTTCAATAAACTGAATAGAAATACCTAGTACATTCCTAGTGTTTTATTACCAATAAACTTCAAATACTTTCTTTAAGATAAGACCATCCCCTTAGATTCATGGGCCACTTCAATCCCAAGCATCTAAGTTGTCCCAGATCATTTACATCTTACCTCAAATTACTTCCTCAATCTTCACTTCAGTTGAGCAATCTTTTTCTCATCATCACCAGTGATAATTATGTCATCCATATTCACAACAAATATGATAGTGTAAACTTCATGTCAAAATAATACCGTGTGGTTTGCATTGGCCGGGTTCGAGGAGATTAATTCAAGTCATACAGTGACTTCCTAAGCCTACGCACCTAGTCCATTGTCTAGGATGTACTAAATCCTAGTGTTATCACCATATATACCTCCTCTCATAGTTCCCAATGAAGAAAAACATTCTTCACATCTAGTTGGTGGAGTCTCCATCCACCATTAACTACTAGAGAAGCCAGTGTCCTCACCATGCTCATTTTTTCGACGTGCAAATATTTCATTGCAGTCAATGTTATACATCTAACTATACCATTTTGCTACTAGTCGTGTTTTATACCTCTCCACCTTACCTTCTGGAGTTTGTTTTATCGTGAATAACCACTTGCGTCTAACTGCTTCTTCCCTACTGGTAGTGGTACAATCTCTAATGTTTGATTTTTATCAAGAGCTCTAAACTCTTCATGCACCCTCGCTTTCCACTTGGGATCCTCTCTAGCATCCTGCCAACACTTTGGTATAGAGACAAAGTCCAATGATGTAATGAATGTTTCATTGCGAAATTGAGATGTTATGATAAGAAATAAAGTTCACAATATCAAGCTCCCACCCAAAACGATTAGGAGGATGTTCCCCATTTTTGTGGAAGGTCTTTCTTAACGTTGGGTGGGTAGGAGTGGACGGAGGAGGAATAATATCACCTAGGAGTTTTGAATGAAAGGCGGATGATGTAGGTGTTTCAATAGTTAGGGAAGACCGAGACAAGGGAATTGTTAGCACTATAAACTCTGTTCTCTCAGTTTGCTTCTTCCTCTATGTATACACCCTTAACTCACCTTAAGCCTGAATCCCACTACCTCTAGCGTCAATCTCATTGATTTTCGTCTCCCCAATTGATTCATCCCATATCATAGAACATGACATTGCTCTCACTAGCATCACTAGGATGTAGTATGGTTCAAACTCTTTGAATGACACATCCATACTTACAAAGAGTTTTCTCAATCGGGCTTTAGCAGACATAACATTTCTGAGTAGCATAATAACCCAAGAACACACATGTCACAGCTCTGTGATCCAACTTCCTCACAGATGGCATGTTATCTTTCACAAAGCATACACATCCAAATACCTTCAACGGAAGGAGCTCACTATTGTCTCCTTTCAACATCTAACAAGGAGACTTCCACTTCAGCACTCTTGAAGACATCATGTTAATTAATTGAGTAATTGTCAACACTGTTTGCCACCATAAATGTTGTGGGGCATTCATTGTCATCATCATGCTCCAGGCTACCTTTAAAAGATATCGATTCTTCCTCTCTGCTACTTAATTCTCTGATTGTGTGTATGGACATGTGGTTTGGTGTTGTATCCATTGAGCTGACAGATAGTCCTCAAATGCTTTATTGATATATTATGTCTCATTATTAGATCTCAGTGCCTTCACAGCTGCAGCATATTGGGTCTAGATTGTCTTATGGAAATTTTTAAAGCAATCAACCACCTCACTCTTCTGTTTCATCAAGTATATCCAGGTAACACAAGAAAAACAATCAATAAACATAACAAAATATCAATATTCATTCATAGAACTAGTATGGCAGGGTTCTCATACATCAGAATGTATCAAATAAAACACTAGAACTCCTATTTCAGAACTGACATAAGAGCTCCTAGTGAGCTTGCCAAACAAACAAGCAACACACGCCAATTTCTCCTCATTTGTCTTTTTATGCATAGATTGATACAACCGACTAAGTAAACTAAGACTAGAACTTCCCATGTATGTGATGTAATAGTAACACATCCCCGACGTTCCTTTTAGATTCTCCTATAACAACATTTTCCACCATGGATGTTAGAGCTTGGTCCATCCCCTCTCAGTCCAAGTACTAGAGTCCACTGTCAAGCTCTAGTCCTAAGTGTTTGGCCAATCCCTTTCTTTTGGAAGATTACCTAAAGAATATCAAAAGAGACAATGCATTTTAACTGGAGAATAATTGCACTAATAGATAAGAGTTTTATTGGACAAAGTCATATGATTGGTACATCTCACTGTACCCTTACCAACTACAGGTTACGATATACCATCAAAAGTCTGTATACTCTTTGGTTCTGTTAGATGAGTATATTGAAGAGAACTCTCCTGCAGTACCTGTCACATGAAAAAAAAGACCAGAATCTATAATTCATTTGATGATTTTGTGGTGAAAATAGAGGCAAGAGAAAGTGTCACCAGTACCTTTGCTGAAGCAAGCATAAGTGGTAATGTTACCCCTTAATGTCAATGGATTTGAAACATCCCAACCTCCATCTCCCGTTGCTTTCTACTTCCTATTGAATAGCATTATACACTCATGATCCTCACTAGTAAAGATCATACCTGTCTTTCCCTCATCCTCTGCTACCGTCAAATTTGCCCGGTAGCCCTCTTCCACCTTTCCGACCTCCATGACCACGACCTTGTCAATGTCCACCTGTCTCTCTCTCCTTTGGTGGCTTACAAACCCTACTCATATGGCCAACTTCACCACAGTAGGACAACTTCCGAGTCTCCCCCTGAACACCTATCGTACCTGGGCTCGCAGTAGTCAATGTTGATCGTGCACCTAAAAAACCACTCGACCCACAGTGTAGTTTCATTTGAATCTCCTCCTGTATCATCGCAGCAAATGGCCTCATATAGTATAGGAATAGTCGCATGAGCTAGTAGAACCGATCTCCGTTGCTCAAAGGTTGGGTTTAGATGAGTCAGAAACTAAATAGTCTACATCTGTGCAAAGATCTCTCCCTTCTTGCAACCCGGATCACCACAGCTCAGCATAGGTGAGAACTGATCAAGACCTTGCCACAACAGCTCCAAATCTATGGAATACTCCTGAATCGCTCAATCGCCCTAAATCACTGCCTCTATTTCATGTTGAATCTAAAACACCCTCATGTGGTTCTTAGCTCCAACATATATCTTCTTCAGCTTCGCCTAAATGTCGTTGATCTTTCAAATGTCATTCATTGATGAAGCAATTGATGGAACCATCAAGTTGAATAGCCACTCGTAAAGCAAGGCATGTGTGGTCCTTCACTCATCCCTCTCAGCGTTGTCACTCTTTGGATCGACCCCCGTTAGGTGTCCTTCTAGTCTCTTCCTTACCAGTACAGCCTCGATCCGACGCGACCAACTCAGATACGTGGCCGATCCATCGAGCTTCAGATCCACAGGAGGGAGATCTATCTTCACCTGTGTCGGAGCATGTGCTGAGGTAGTGGCTCTGGTCGAGACGCTAGCTCCCTGTATGAACCAGACCAAGACCTTTAGAACTTCAGGATCCATCTTTCCAAAGGTTTCAATCCCTTGCCTCATGCATTATCTCAATCCCATGACATTCTCAATCACACACACATGACTTCCTTCTTGCAAGTTTGTGCGGTCCACTTTTCTTTAGTCTGCACGAAGCCTCAAACACTTTGTCTCTGATGCCAAAGAGTCTATGTTGAAACCCTTCGTCCACGCCTTTCCCCTCCCCGGACAAAAGGTCTAATAGAGTTGAAGTCTTGTCTCACGTCACAACACACGCAGAGACAACAACGGATTCCTCCTCGTATTCTTTGTTAACTCGACCCTGTCAGGTATCCTTCTAGTATCTTCCCTACTAGAGCAGCCTCAATCTGACACGACCAACACAGATACGTGACCAGTCCATCGAGCTTCAGATCCACAGGAGGGAGTTCTAGCTTCCCCTGCGTCGGAGCATATGCTGAGGTAGTGGCTCTCGTCGAGACACTACCTCCCTGTATGAGCCCGATCAAGACCTTTAGAACTTTGGGATTCATCTTTCTCAAAAATTTCAATCCCTTAACTCCTACACTATCTCCATCTCATGACATTCTCAATCACACACACACGACTTCCTTCCTGCAAGTTTGTGCGATCCACTTTTCTTTAGCCCACACGAGGCTGCAACCCCTTTGTCCAAGACTCCAAAGAGTCTTCGCTGAAATCCTTCATCCACGTGTTTCCCCTTCTCGGACATAAGGTCTAATAGATTCAAAGCCTTGCCTCACTTCACTGAACACGCAGAGACCACAACGGATTCCTTATCGTATTCTCTGTTAAATCAGTCATCCACGCTCAAACAGAAGCCCCGTCTCCCGGCACCGAAGGTCTCGGCTCTGCCTTGCACTCGAGCCCTTCTTTCCTACCTCTGTGCATGCAAAGACCTTTCTCTTCTTCCACCTTGTCTGTTGTAATCCCGTCAGCCACGATCCACAATCCTGACTACCGCGATTCGTAAAGGAGAGGAAGGTCGATCCTCATCTCTACACCGATCGTGTCTCGATTCGCAGAAGAAGAACCCATCTGTTGCGATCCGTTTGCTCTTTGCACCGATGGAGACCAACAAGGATGCCAAATAGAAATTATGGCTCAAAAAAATACTTTCATTCATTGATGACAAGCTTATACAGAGCCTTACAAATTACAACATTTACAAATAAATCCTTAGACTTCATCTATAGATACAAATCTCAACAAGTTGATTTATACAATGGTGCAGTGAGGATGACAAATTGGCAAGGATAGGGTGGTGCAAGATTGGGTGGCTACAAGTTCATATTTGAAAATTATAAAATACATCAATATTATTTTTCAGCACTTTTAATAATAATTTGATTTGTTTAAAAAAAAACTTATTAAATACTAATCAAACATGTTTTAAAATAAAAGAATAAAAATAAAAATACATACAAAAAGTGATGCAAAACATGCATTTGTTTTCTAAAGATCATATTGTTCTTTGGTGCGTCAACAAATAAAAACATTACAAAAAAAGTTCAAGACAAGCCTGTTGAATGTTTGCAAAAGTTAATAAGTAGTGGACTTACGACTCCAGCTGAAGTTGGACCAGTGTTTCCTTCCTGAAGGCCAATTGGAAAAACAACCATCAGTGCAAGGAATCAGCAGTTTCAAAATAAAATCTTACTCGACAACAGCGTTCATTCATTTCTTGTAATCAGAAACTCACTTTTGTTGGAAATCGTAAGTTCCCCAACAATCATGGTTGCCCAAAATTGCTGCTTTTGGAAAGTCAAGATTTGAAATGCTTCTAACTAGTTCAACGTTCTCATTACCAAAATCACCTTCATAGAGCAATAGTAAGACAAAAAACAAAAAATAGCATATAAAAAATGTACATATATGATAAAAGATAAATTACCAACGATACAACTAAAATAACTTTTACGAGGTAAAATAAATAAATAAATACAATTTTTTTCACATTTTTCAAATTATGTGAAGCACATAAAGTAGGAGAAAAGCACATACCTGTAAATAGTACCAGATCAGGCTGCATATCAGAAAACAACATGTCAGATTTTTATGGCTAGCATATTATAGTTTATCTAAAGGAGAATCAGAAATCGAATAACAAATGATCATTAATATTGTCATCATCATTTTATCCCAACTATTTAGCTTTATGAATTCTCATTTTCCATTCATTTTTCATTCTAATTAAGTCCTCTAGATTTTAAAAATTGTATATGCCATTAAATCTTTCCTCATAGTTGATTTGAATTATTTTAAATCATCAATACTTCTTTAGCCCTTTGAGCTTCAACAAGGTCTTATCACTCACATATCGAGAAAGAGCTTAACAGAGCCAAAATTATTGGGATAAGGCTAAGGATGGTGATAATATAGAGAGTAACTTGCCATTTAAACTTCTAGTTTCTTTTCTTAAAGCTGAAGGTGCAAGTTGTTTGGTGCTCAAGACTAAACGTGAAAAGTCCCAGCCCCATCTCAAGACCATCGACGAAAATTTTTCTACTTCAACCAAATACTAACACCAAAATTAAGTGCCTACAAACTGAGTGCCTGAAATGTTTTAAAAGGTAATTTAATAGAAGAAAGTAACAAAGCAGTCTATGTTAAGCTTTAAAAGATTTAAAAGGCCAAATAACCTCATGGTTAATATAGTTATGATTGATTGTAGATGTGACTTAACATAGAATGATAAATATAAAATTATAAAAATATATACTACTGTAATTAAGTGTTCTATGATGTTACTTTTCTTTGAACAATCAAGAAGATTAAGTGTTAAGAAACAGTACCTGTAAAAGTTGAAGAGCGCTTGAATCCTCTTTTAAGTCCCAATCATCATGCTTCAAGATCAAAGAGAAACATTAATGCTACTGATGGACCTTTTAATTTAACAAAAACAAAACTTAATAATGGAACCAAGAAATAGTTTATAAGTATGAGATGCATACTATATGGACATGGTTTACCTTCATTGAGTAGGTCTAAGAAATAGGTGACATGTCTAGTTCATTCGAAAGAGAAAAATCATAGTAAATCTTTGTTCCAACTAAATAATGATTTGTACAACAACAAGCCTTCATCCCACTAGTTCCTTTAAATAATGAATTGTAAAATAAGCAAAAACAAAGTGACCATCATTAATAATAAAGAAGGCTAAAATAATTTAAGCACTAATTAATTTAGCATTTAGATGAAAAAGTAAATTATTGTTAATGTGTTTAAAGGTGGAAAATCAGCACTCTTGTCTGTATAAATCTGATCCATCTCTGAGATGAATATCAATTTAAAAGTGGATATCCAATAGCACTATGTTCCCAATCCAAGGATAGATCCAGTGCAGCTAGAAATTCATGACAAATTTTTGACAGAACAAAAAAATGAGCAGAAGCTCATCCAAATATTATTGTTCTTTCATTTTTAAATTCTTATTTGTAAGTTTCTGATATGCCAGCTCTGTCAGTTGCCGCAAGTACATCGGTCCAGGAGGTACCGGTCCAGACTAACTAGACCCAGCCAGCCAGTCTAGGCGGCAGAAACCCTAGGAGTCCGCCATGGATGATTTCAGCAATCGAGTGGGGCCCCTGCAACCATTAATCACGTACACGATAAAGAGAATTAAGGGGAGTTTGGAAGGAAAGTTTGAGGGTACCTTGGGGGTATTTATTAGGGCTAAGTGGCTAGGCTTGGGGGACGTTTTATTTTCCAGCAATTTTTTTTCTTTCCTTGTTTGTTCCCAGTGGCGTCTAGATTTTGTGGAGAGTCGATCTACCCTCGAATTATATATCACCCTTGTATCTTGTTTGTTTGCTTGGATATTAGTAAAAGTAGCCTTAATCTACGTTTTCCCTCTAATTTTTTGCAATATGTTCGCTATTTTCAGCTTCGGGGTGTATCAGGTTGGTATTAGAGCAAGACCTTAGAGAGATGATAGCAAAGAAAGTGGATGGTTTGGAAGAGAGATTAGAAGGGGAAATAGGGAAAATCAAAACCAGAATGGAGGAAAAGTTCTCCACCATAGAAGAAAGGTTTTCTCCCAAGATCATATGTTTTCTTTCACGGAAAATCGATTCAACTTAGAGGAGATGATAAATTGGGTTATTGAGGTGCAACCCAACACCCACCGACAGCTCAATTTGCAAACCCTAACCAAGGGTCGACCAAAGGATCCTTGGCTAAATTAAAAGCGAAAGAGATTAAACGAGAGAAGCAAGAGAAGGAAAACATCCACCCTCAATAATTATCCCCGAGTACTTTGATGGAGGATGAACTAGTGATTTTCGATGAAGGGTGTTGGGCCGAAATGGGGAGGAGGGGCTATGTAAGGGGCCCAGAGGGGAACGTAGAAGAAAGGAGAGAAACCAAAATGGGATATGATTATGATCGAAGAAGGGAGTTCCACGCTAGATACATCGGGAGAAACACTGGAGGGATAAAAAATTGGGGTGATGATGCCAGAGTAAGGAAGTTGAAAATGCCGATCTTCGAGAGAGAAGACGCACATAGGTAGGTGTATCGGGTGGAGTGATATTTCGCAGTGAATGAGCTGGATGAGAAGAAGTTCATGACGTTTGAGTTATGTTTTGAGGGGAAAACCCTAGCATGGTTTCAGTGGAGGGAGAAGAAATACCTAATCTGTTCGTGGGAGGTCTTTAATGATTGCTTGTTGTAACGTTTTTGAGTCATTCGTTGAGGAGACTTATACGAGCAATTCTATGTCTTGACTCAGGAGTGGACGATCATTGAACATAGGAAGAGATTCAAGCAACTGTCAAGGCGGCTGAAGAGAATTTCTAAAGCATGACTAGAGAGGAACTTCATGAAGGGCCTAAAGCCCTACATATGGGCAGCACTCCAACCATTGAAACTGCAGAGATTGAGGGAGATGATGGAGCTTGCCCAAATAATGAAAGAGAAAAAAACAAATGAAGAAGACTAGCAAAAGCAGTACTACTGGAGATTCCGCAAGAGTACCTCGACGACCATGACATCGAAGACCCTGATGTTGTCATTTTAGAAGAAGGCATCGAAGGAGAGGAATCTTGTGGCCTATCTCGAGGTCAATTTCAAGCACCTCACAGAGGCAGAAATGTCAAACGAGAGAGCAAAGGGACTATGTATCTAATGTGATAAGAAGTATGCCCTAGGCCATTGGTACAAGAAGTGCACGATCCAACTCCTTATAGTTTGTGAGAGGGAGGAGCCAATTAGTGAGGAATCGAAGGACTATTTTTTCTTCACCCTAAAGATTAGTATGGTAACCACTAGTTGTTTGAAGCCATAATTCTCCCGGATCTTATGAGTTCACAACGAATTTTAACATTACAAATGGTTAATTTGTAAAGTAAATGAAGTGCAGATGAAATACCATCACATTCGATGAAGTAACAAGATTCTACTTTAATTTAAACCCTACACATGCTGCTAATCCATTACAAAAGAAGGGAAACAAGTAAAATAATCATATTTCATAGAAAAAACCACAATACACAACATCTTATATTAAAGCACAGCAAATTACTAAGAAATACTCCAATACAAGACAAATGAAATAAAATAACTTATCTTCTTCCTTGAGAAATAAAGAAAACATCCACCAAATAGATTTCTCCTTGCAATCTCATCACAAATCATTGCACCTCTCACACAATTCTAAGTAAAAATAGGAAAAACAATGGAAAATTCTCAGTTTTTCCTTGAACTCCCTACACTCTATCTCCTTCCTTGAACTTTCCAATGCTTCCTTCTGCCGTCTAATGAGTTTCTCCCCCCAAAAATCCTTGATTTCGTGCTTAAAACTGCTACAAAACTGCATTGGGCAGCTCTGGCGCCTAGGCGCCACTCCTTATGTCAACTGGAAATTTGAGCTCTCGTCTATGCGCCAATATGTGGCGCTTTGGCACCACTTTTTCTGTTGCTTCTACAAGATCCGGCGCCTAGGAGCAGGAACTAACGTCGTGGCGCCTAGGCGCCCGAATCTGGTGCCTATGCACCAGTTCAACTCCAATGCTTCATTCGCTTTGTTTTCGCTCTAGTTTGCTTTATTTGTTTTACATATTATACATGCAATCAAAAACATAAAAATATATTCCATTAAAGTGCAATATCATTAAAAATAAATAGTAAATGTAGAAGGAAAATTAACACGTTAAAAGGACATGTCAATATATCCCTCCAACAGGAAAAACCTCCTTGCAAGACTTTTTTCTCTGCCTATCCTGGAGCAAAAATTCCTCTACTACAAGCCTCCCCTCTGCACCCACCTCTCTCCCTGAGGCCTTAGCCGCCGAAACTCCTTCCTGTAGGAACTAGCCACCGGAGCTCTTCCTGCATGTCTCTAGTCGTCGGAACTCCTCTCCTTGCAGTCCTCTAGCCACCAGAACTCCTTCCTGCAATCAAAATTTCCTATTGCAGGCCCTCCTCTAGCCAGAGTTCTCACTACAGTCATTGAATACAATTTCCCTACACAGTTGTCTTCTCTATAGCAACGCTGGCCAGGATTTCTTCCTTCCACAAGAGATCTTCCTCTTGCAGGACTTGTCTCCCGTAAGAATTTCTTCCCGTCGGCAAACTCCTGTGAGAATTCCTTCTATGCACTTTACAAGCAGCAAATAGTTTTTTTCTCTCCCCTGAGAACTTCTTCCCTTTAGTTACTTAATTCCACCAAAGGTTCGACATCTACCTAAATCCCTCCGCAGACCGGAGGAACTGAACTCCACAAACTCCACTGTAAACAGTTAAATAAGACTTAGTTCAAATCTTTCACAACTAAAAATTTCGCTACGGTCTTGGAATCCACAACAATTCAATTGGCTCCTACTCGGACCATTCTTGACTCGCCGGACTCTATTGAGAGTCGGATGAAATAAATTGTTTGGTTCTAGTCTGTTCTCTTTCGGTCTGTCTACCTCTCATGTCCGTCAAGGATCGTCATCTAAGGAGGATGATTTATTTTTTAATTTTTCTCTAGAAAATGAAATTGAAGACGCCTTCCTTTGTTCCCCTTTGCACCATTGTTTTTTTCCTTTTCCTGTAATAGACTCTCCACAAAGCTTTTTTCTACAGCAAGCACCCCGCAACTTTTTTCTGCACCAGGCCATTCTCTAGAGCATTTTCCTGTAGTTGGTACTCCACCGAAGTTTTTTTCTACAGCTAGCCCTACTCTGAATCTTTTTCCTCCAGCAGACCCTCTTCCAAAGTTTTTTTTTAACAACAGACCCTCCTCCAAAGCTTTTTTCTGCAGCAGACTCTCCTCCGGAACTTTTTATCACAACATACCCTCCTCCAAAGCTTTTTACTGCAACAGGACATCCTTCAAAGTTTTTTCTTTTTTCAACAAGTCATGCCCTCAACTTTCTTTGTAGGTTGTCTATTTCCTTGCAAACTTCCCTGCAACATTATATGTAGCAACATTCTGTCTACTAACAAACAATATAGTCAAAGACTACCACAGTCAGCTAGAAGTATCTCGAAATGCTCTGAGGATGAAAACGTCAAGTTCTCTCTCACAAAAGATCTTCCTCGCGCGTTGATTGATGATTTCAAATCCAAGTTGAACATAGTTGACGTATATGTTTCAACTTAAGAGGGAGTTTTAAAACTTATTAGGAAATGATTTATTTCATTTTATGTTATTTTCTATTATATGAATTTCCTATTTTATGTCTTTCTTATTCTATGTATTTCCTTTTATCTCCGGGTAGCTTTTAGGAATTGATTGATTGTAATGTTAATATAGGTGTTATTTTTTTCTTATTTTAAAAATCATGTAAGTTATATTTATAACCCCCTTTCGTATCAATAAAATATTATGTTTTATTCTCAAAACTAACACATGTATGGTGGATGATTATTGGTTTAGAGCACTGATGAGAATCTTGGTTGCTTAAGTGGAAAAGATTGTGAAACCCCTTAAGTACAATGAAACGAAACTCTTAAACACTTAGGCGCCTTTTGGTGTAACCGTTGAAATTTTATCAGAAACTCTGAAGTTAAGCATGATCATACAAGAGCACTCTTGAAATGGGTCTCGGAAGTTACTTTAAGGGGTGAAAAGCGTGTTACATTTGCTGCGATAGCTGAGAGAAAATCAATGGCTACATAAATGAAAGGTCATACTAAGTGCATGAGGCTTCCACTCAATGAAGGATCTAAGGTGAGGATGATCTTACCCATAAATTGTAGGTAAGGGAGGGTTGACGAGCTCAGTCATACTCACGCCATCTAGAGAGGCGGTTTTTGTGATTTTAACTCATGACCTCCATATCACAACCTAACTGCTCAATCTCTAGTTTGTTTTGAGGCTTTGGAAATCTTCATCTGGTAACAGTCTAGACCATATTGAGCATAAAAAATGAGAGTTCAATTCTCTTCAACCATTCAATCCCATACATCAATAGAGAATCTGCAGATTTCAGTCCAACAAACTTAAAAGCTAGCTTTGTCACTTGCAGAGAAGCATGCGGTCAAAATCAAAGTTATTCATGGCTTGATCATCGGATCAATAAATGACTTTCAAATTATGATCAATAAAGCTTCATCGCTTCAGAAAGAAGTATTCACGCCCTTCTGATATGGCATCAAAATCATGAAGGAAACGTATTCGATAATTTGACTGAATGCCACAAATCAACACAACAACCAACACAAACTCGATTCCTTATCTGAACTAGAAATACGGATCAAAAGTAAAAACAACAAAGTGAATCCAAGTAAGCCATTGGCTCTAACAAACGAGAATCAGAGATATCTACGAAAAAGGGTTTGCAGAGCTCACCACGTCTCCGACGATCACGATCCTGACAGAAGTAGCCATCGCCGGGCGCATAGGTATCGGTAAGAGAGAGAGAGAGAGAGAGAGAGAGAGAGAGAGAGAGAGAGAGAGAGAGAGAGAGAGAGAGAGAGAGAGAGAGAGAGAGAGAGAGAGAGAGAGAGAGAGAGAGAGAGAGAGCTAATGGGTATTAGCAGAGAAGAGGATTCAAGCGGTGCGAATGGAGGACGAGGAAGACTTGCACTGCAAAAGACGACTATCATTTAAATACTATGCTTCATTGCTTGCTAATAACTTCCGGAAGAGGAAGAAGTGGCGAAGTATGGGGGGCAGCAGCCGGGGAGAGTATCATAAAAAATTAATTTTTATTTTATTTTAATATTATTTATCTAACAATATAGTTATATTTTAAATTAAATTTTAATTTATAATTATTTTGTTAAACTCTTAAGAGTATTCATATACATGCCACATAATTTTTATATTTACATATCTCACGCTTAGATTTTTATATTTATAGTAAAAAATCTATTTTATATGCATGCCACATAATTCTTATATTTACTCATGTATTTTAAAAATTCAATTATTTGGCCAAAGAAATTTAAAATTAATATAAGATTAGAGTTATATTTGAAATTCTTATATTTACCGGTCTCTTGTTCATTTTCTCAAAATAAAAAATTTCGAAAACACAGCTGATTGTAAAGTACTTCCCGTCGTCATGTAAACCACCACTCACAGCAAATCAATCAACTCCAAAGCATTTCACATACGCTACATTACTATTATGTCACATTCATTTTACACTGTTTTTTCTTTTCAGCAAACCAAACACCTAGCAAAAAATTATCATCCGACAAACTGTATCATCATATTCTCAACAATCAAGCCTTAATATAAATTTAATATATTATTCTTTAAGAAATTCTTAATGAAAATTTTCTTTTAAATTAAAACTATATATTCAATATTTAGACAATCAACTAATAGACCAACAAAAAAATTAAAATATTTAAATATATAAAACAATACACAAACAAATAATTACTATGCAATATTCTACCAAGCGGCGTTGAATAGTCAGTAGATTTTCCCATAGACAATGTCAAGAACTAAAGCTTTGATCTTTTCCCATGAAAGGATGTGGTCAAATTATGCTATCGACTATTCCCAACCACTATTTACTTGCTCTCTAAGGAAATAATAATCAATATGAATTAAAAATAAACAGGGGCATTTACATGTATAACCCCAATTCATTTTTAGAAAGTAAAATGCAAAGGGTTGGACATGTAAATACATAAGAATTGTGTGTTATGTATGTAAATGGCTCAAGAACAAGATATAAAAAATAAACGTGATACAACCCTAAAAGTCAAATTTAATTGGATGTATGTTAATATAGCTATATTTTTCTATGTATTCTACATTCAACCATTTAAGCATTTTACAGTAAGAACTTAGAGGTGGGCCACAAATAGGGGTGCAGTAGTACCAGTGCATTGCATTTTTAAAGCGGATAATTTGAAAATTCAGCTGTTTATTTCGAATAATTTGAAATTCAATAAAAAATATATATATTTAAAATTTAGGCCTTAGTTATTTATCTCTATACTTGAAATTCAATGTGAAATAACAATGTAATTATGTCTATCATTAAATAAGTCATTTTACTCTATACATAAAATAAATAAATTAATTAAGTGTTTACAAATATGAGGTATGATATTAATGAGTGTGCCTATTTAGATTATGAACTATCACATGCAAACATTTGTATTAGTGCATGTATTAATTTTGATTTGCTTTTATATATATTTTTAAAAGTATTTAGCTATTAATTGCAATTTTAGATTAAAAAAGTATTCAAAAGAAAAATAATAATAATAAAGCATCAAATGATGTGCGGGTGTTAGGCCCAAGTTCAAGCCAAAATAGACTTGTTTAAACTTTTTTGGGTCCATGAAAGTTTTTTTTTTCCACATTTTGAATTTAAGTAATAGTGCCAGAGCGCAAAAATTCCTCTATAAGTAATTTAGAAAAGTTTGTAGATAATTTTTTGGATTATTTTTTTACCAAGGAACATGCCAACTTTCTAAAAAAGCTAACAAAAATTTAAAAAAAGTTTAGTTCACAATTCTAATAGGAGGTCTATATTTATTTATGGGAGAAGATATTTTGTGATTTTTTTCTTAAATTATAATTTTATAACATAAAATTTCTAGACTTAAATTATTTTTGTACTCCTTGATTTTAACCAAAAAATTTCCAAATCTAGCATAGTTTGTTAAGCATATATGTGATTTGGAGCCTTTAAGAATTAATCGTGAGATCATATAGGTCATGGTGTCGTAGTGGTGAACTACAATAATGTCTGTTGATCACAATGACAGGAGTTGAGAGTCATATGGGCTGCGAACCATGTAGGTCACAATTAGTCATGTTAGTCGTAGTGGTGAGTTGCGATAATGTACGCACGTCACAGAAGTTGGAGTTAGGAGTCGCACGAGCTTTAGACCATGTAGATCGTATATGGTTGGTCACTTAGACTATAGTGGTAAGATGTGATGACTTCTGTGGGTCATAAAAACCAAATGTGAGAGCTACATGAGTTGTACTACGCAAGTCATAGTTGGTCATGTATGCAGTACTAGTGAGCTACGGTAAAGTTTGTGGGTCATATATGTTAAAATTGGGGGTTGCATGAGCTGTGGACCAAATAGGTCGTAGTTGGTCACATAAATCATAAATGAGAAATGCGAGGAGATAACTTTATGAGTATGGAGAGAACTGCAGTATGTGGGTCTTTATTACATCGTTTTCAGGGTGCGTCTTTGCATCATATTCGTGGCATTTCTTTACATTGTATTCAAAGTAAATTATTACACATTTTTTAGTGTGTGTCATTGTAACATATTTGAGGTGCATCATTACACCATAGTTGAGATACATTGTTGCTCTACATAGTGTTTTGTTACTCTGCAACGCACATGTCGGGATTCCACAGGGTATGCTGTGATTCTACAAGAGATTTTGTTGCAAATAAAAAAGATGACTAACAGTGGTCGGCAGTGGTTGTTGGCACTTGTTCGACCTTCACTGTAGAACACTTGACTTCTGTTCATTATACTCGCGACCCCATCCAAGTTTCAATCTTCGTCTAGATCTTTCTCCCCCTTTCATGAGAGAATATGACTCTATTTATAAAGTACATGAGAGATATCCCACAAATAAAGAAGGAATCTAGATTACTCTATCAAAATACTCAATTTGACTAGAAGTTTGTCAAATTTGCAATTCGTTTGAAATTTTGATAAAGCACCAAAAGTTTTTAATTGTGGTTTCCGACCAACAGTTTCATATTTCACTTGCAAAATCAATAGCTCATGTTCTTTGTTTATATTGTAATGCATTCATTTAATACCTTAGCGAGAGAGATTTAAATTAAAAAAAAAAGAACTCAAATAAAATTTAAAATCTCTTTATACATCCAACCCAACATTTTCTTTTGATGAGCCCATATAACCTAATAATAAAATAATTATACATTACATATAACTAAGCATATATAAATTGCTAAAATAGTTGGCGACACTAAAAAATATTAGAACCCTTGATTCATCATTTTTATATTTATATAATAATGGTTTATGTCAAATATCTTATTTGTAGGAAATAAATTCTTTATATGAAAGCCAAAGTAAAGCCCTTCGGCTTTGCCAACACAACGGTCCTCTTATTCCCCAATAATAGCACTAATCACAACTTAACAATATTAATCATGGGATTATTGCTTATTTAAGAAAGTAAAGTACAAAACCTTTTTGGCACTCCAATGATGCGGTGGTCCCAGTGCGGCCCCACCACAGAACCTCCTTAACGGCCAACAAAATCCCGGTTCGTCCGCACGTACTAATGCTCCGCCACGTGTCTACGGTCTCGCCCGGCCGGTCCAGCAAAGATAACCCTCGACCGGCTCACTCGCCCCGCGCTATTTCTCCCCGCCCTCCTTCCTCTCCCTTCTCGCTCTGTCTCTCTATCTGTAATCCTCTTCAATTTCCCGCTCGGGGATCACGATCTCGCCTATCGCTTCCCACGAGAGGTTCGCTCGAAATTGAAATCCCTCTTTTCGATTCCACATTCGAGCTCGATTTTTTTAAATTTTGATGTCTTATTTGAAATTAATTTGGTTGAGATTTCTGATCAAATGTGCAGGCGATCGGGATCTTGGAAGCGGGAAAGATAGAAGGGCATCGTGATCGCATTTTCAGCTGGGGTTTTGCGGATCATCTATGTGTAACAAGGCTTCAGGGTGCTAGAACAGAGGAGTCGGGATGGCCAATAACGATGCATCCAGTTCTGGTTCATCCTCATCGGGGGCAGCTGCGATTGCCCCGGTGTCCGGACCGCCATCAGGGCCGCAGGGGCTTACACGCCGGCCGTCGAGGAGCGCAGCTATGACGACGTTTTCGATGGAGGTGTTCGACAATGAGGTTGTACCTTCATCGCTGAGCAGCATTGCACCGATCCTTCGCGTTGCTGCTGAAATCGAGGCGGAACGGCCCCGCGTTGCTTATTTATGTATGATCTGTTTTTTTTTAATCCCGATTTGGTTTCTAAGCATTTGGGTTCAATTTTTATGACGACTGATTCTTGTTTTGTTATGTTTTATGTTGGAATGATCAAATGTTGGCGGTGAGAAGGTCGGTTTTATGCATTTGAGAAGGCCCATAGGCTCGATCCGAGTTCTAGCGGCCGTGGAGTGCGGCAGTTCAAGACCGCTCTGTTGCAGCGATTGGAGCGGGTAAAATCGTCAATCATTCTCTCTCTATATGTCCTCTTTTTTTTATTTATTTAATGGTAATAAACTATCGATGCTTGATCATTCTTCTCCCGGTTACGCTGCGTGAAGTTAGGCAACGAATTTTATGAGTGTTCAATGGCGGAATAAATAGCAGGATCACAATTCTCTCTCTCTCTCTCTTTATGTATATGTATATATATATATAGAGAGAGAGAGAGAGAGAGAGAGAGAGAGAGAGAGAGAGAGATCTGCAATGCCAATGTAGGATTAGTATATGATCTCGTTTCTATCTAATTTGGAGTCCCATGTTAAGTCGGATCACATTCTAGCCATCGTCATTATTATTATGGAATGATGAGCGAGCCAAAATGGCATTTAAAAAACTACAATAAAATAAAATGTCTCAAAACTAACAATGCTCAAATAAAATGTATGCAGTGGAAACTGCCATTAAAAAAAAAGAAAACAATTAATACAAAACTAAACATTTATGAGGTAAAAACTATGAACTCAAAGTTGTAAAAATATAGTATTGGTAAGCAATAAAATGTATGTTGTGGAAACAAAAAAAAAAAAGAAAAAGAGAAAAAATATATGTTGTGGAAACCGAAAAAAAAAAAGAAAAAGAGAAAAAATGTATGTTGTGGAAACCGAAAAAAAAAAGCGAAAAAAACCTACACATTTATGGGTTAAAAATGACTTACTTAAAATTATAACACTATAGAATTTGCAAATGGCGAGGGTCCTAAAAAGCCCATTCAAAATAGAGGCTACTCCATTTACCTAACTTATCATTGTTGAAAAAATTTAATAAAGCCAACAAGTGAAATAAACATAAAATAAAATCAAATAACAAGAGATCAAACGCAAAAAAAAATCATAACTCATATGGTTAAAGTTTGGCTTTAGATCAATAGGGAGTAGAGAAAGAAGTTGAGAGCAATTAACATAAGATTTAACAACCATTGGGTGAACTAGTTTCATAAAAAAAATTCAATTTTTCCACAAATTTATTATCCTGAGCTTAACTATTAAAACAATGTGAAAATTTTAAAATTTTAGGGCTAAAAAATATGAAATCATGAATTATATTATTCAACTCCACCCAAATGTTAGAAATAAATATTCAAACTATGATGACATAGAACTTTTGAACTATAAGATTTTTAACGACAATAACTACTATGTTAAGAAACAAGCATAATGTTAGCATCATAAAGTAAAAAAATTACTATTAGGAGGAAAATTTTTGACCAATCTTATTGAGTAAAGATATTAAAAAAGATGGTTGTTAATGCACTTAGATGATACAATATATGGGATTAAATAGTCCTCTATTTTGAAGGTTGACTATGTTATTCACATCGTTATATGCATTTATTTACATGTAAACATAATGTCTTAAGAGATTAGACTTTTTCATGGCTAATAAATTTACACTAGTAAACATCAGAGAGATTGCTAAATAACAAATATTAAGTTTTAAAGTATACTAAATAGTTTTTCCTCTTACATTAAATTTTTTAATTTATTTTACATAACAAATATCCATGAATTCATGATTTGTTGTACATTATATTTCAAATTTCTACAAATTATTTTAGCTAACAAACCTAGCTAGATGATTGTTTTGTTTCCCCCTATAGGAGTTAGGCACACATATTTGGTATTCATGTTTAAAATGCATGTGAATTTGCAAATAAATTGACAAAAACAATAAACACTAACTAATAGGTGAAAACAATGTGCGAGTTTACAACTAAATGTCACATATACAATCTGGATGAATGTTAGTGAATAAATTTTTTTTTTTAACAGTACAATATATTCATTCATGGATTTATGCTCTTTTCCATCAAATAATGAGGAAATATAAGATTGAGATATGTTACTCCAAACATACTAAAATTTTATTTGATACAAACTATCTTTTCTAATTTTCAATCAAAATTTCTAAAATTTATTATTGAAACATAATTCTACTTTGTTAAAAAAAATTCATAAGAAAATTGTGAAATAAAATGAAAAAAAATTAACTCATCATATTCTGCCCATTAAGAGTATAAATTTTCAAACTTGAAGTCATGACTTCAGCCAATAAATCCACTCAAAGTAAAATAAGCAGGGGCATTTACATATAGCATACAATTCTTATATATTTACAATTTTACATATCTCACTTCTAAACTCTTATATACACACACACATAACACTCAAATATTTAACATCACATTAAAAAAAAGCCCTGTTATCACTTTTTAAAAGCTAAATACAACTTTTCATGTAAAAATTTAAAACACTAAAATGCTAGGTATGTAAATATGAAAGTTTAGATATGAGATATGTAAATACATAAGATTTGTATGTGTGCTAGACATATAAATTTTCCCATTAAAAAGTTTAAATGTTTTCATCCAAATTGTCCCAAACATCATCTTACTCATCCTCTCCAAAACACTATGGGTCCTTTGATATGCTCAAAAGGGGAGTATATTCAGTCAAAACAAATGTATTGTTTGATGAATTAGTTAAACCACTTAAAATGAATCAAATTCAAACTAAGGCGGAAGTTCACATGTCCACCATAAGTCTCTCAACTTCCCATAAATCAAGCGCTTTCCGTACACGTAATTTGCATTTAAAAGAAAAGCTAAAATAGCCATTAGTTTTGTGTATTTTATTATATATTATCATTTACATAATATTGAAATTATTTTTATATAATAATATTTAATTAAAAATTTTATATATTTTTATTTTCAACTCATGCACACACTTCTATGTGCTAGACTTTGAACTAAAAGTATTGTAATTTGAGAACTTGGATAAAACATCCATCTATAAAAGGAAGCTGTAGTGCATTATACTCTGTAACATTGGACAAAACTGTACTTTATCTACTTTAAAAAAAAAAATGGTGGAAAACTGTGCTTTACAACCTAATCTCATTAAATACGATGGCTATTAGAAAACTACAATCCGACTTTTTAAAAAATCAAATAAATCTATAATAGACACCATGACTTTTTGAAGAACAATTTTTCTCGCAATAACTTCACAACTGTTTAATCAAATATCTTCAATTTCCCCAAGCATATTCTTAATTAAATTAGTGGCAAATTTAATTAAATACACACAAATATACATTTAAACACCATATTCTTATTTAAATATTTAATCACCAAACAATTTTCTCAATTATGACAGTGCAGCATCATAATATGATATTTTCATTATATTTAAACATTATTTACACACAGTAGCACAGCACATAATTTATATGTATTTACATATTTAATATTAAAACTTTCATATTTATCTACATAACACTCATATCCTTAACTTCACAAACATCACCCTTACTTTTTAAATATAAAATACACCATTCAATCTATAAATTTATGATAAGAAAGAGCTACAAATTTAAATGTCAAAGTTTAAAATGTTAAATATATAAAGACATAATTGTATGAATCTGGCATGTACGTAAATTTTTCCAAAAAATATAGATTTAGAATATCAAATGATAGGCAGGAATGAATCAACAAAATGGTTGGTAGAACTAAACTTAATTGAACCACACTATAATTCGGTTTGGTTGATAACTTTATTAACTAATTAAATTAAATTAAATTATATGAGAATCAGAAGTAATAATATTATTCAGGCTTCAAATGAAACGTAAGTGCGGATATGACGAGGCTTTCAAATATAATACACAAAATAAAAATATTTTCTTTCTAGTTATGGCAGTTTAATGTTTTAGTTCAACCAAAATTTTCTTCTAAATTCGAATCAATAAGCAAAATCCATACATCTCTTACCCCAAAATAAAAATCAAATAATCACTTAATAAACTGAATTATATTAATGAAATGTAATTAAGTTGATTCGAAAATTCAATTTAAACCAATAAATTGGGCCAAATTATCAAATAACAGATTACGGCTGCCTTCAAAATTTCAGATGAAAGCTTTCTTTATCCTATTCTCAGGACAACGCGCCAAGCCTTGCGAAGAGGCTAAAGAAGAGCGATGCTCGAGAAATCGAGAGTTTCTATCAGCAATACTATGAACACTACGTTAGAGCCCTTGACAGAGGAGAACAGGCGGATCGGTAAGCTTTATTTGTTCAAAAACCTAATTTGTTCAAGTTTTCTCCCTTTCTCCTTTTTAATATACCGTGCCTCCCACGCCAACAGTGCTCAGCTTGGCAAAGCCTATCAGACCGCTGGCGTGCTCTTTGAAGTTCTGTGCGCCGTTAACAAGACCGAGAAAGTCGAAGAAGTCGCCCCCGAGGTATACATTTTGATTTATCATCGCAGCGGATAATCAGGTTGATGTATCTCCTACATATTGATGTTTTCCGCACTAAATTGAACGAATTCCGTTTGTTCCGCCTATCAGATTATTGCTGCAGCTAGAGATGTACAAGAAAAGAAGGAAATTTATGTTCCATATAACATTCTCCCTTTGGATGCTGCCGGTGCTTCTCAACCAATTATGCAACTCGAGGAGGTATGAATATTTACTAATGTCGACAGATGAAACAAATTATGGCAGTCTTCAATATGCTCCGTATGAAAATTGGTTTTCTTTGCTCCGTGCGAGCACTTCTATAGTGAGTTAGTGCATTTCCTGAACAGATTAAGGCTGCTGTGGCTGGTTTGAAAAATACCCGAGGATTAAATTGGCCATCTTCGTTTGATGCCCAAAGGCAGAAATTGGGAGATATGGATCTTCTTGATTGGTTGAGGACTATGTTCGGATTTCAGGTTTTCCATACATAGATCAGTTGGAACTGTTTGTTTTCATTTAACTATGTCAATAACTCTCCTTGGTCTTACCCTTCTTAATTGTATTTCTATGCTCGCAGAAAGATAATGTTAGGAACCAGCGGGAGCATTTGATTTTGCTGCTTTCCAATGTTCATATACGGCTATCACCAAAACCTGAACCACTTACCAAGGTGGGCTTTACTTTTTAAATTGCGTTTTGTCATTATATCATCGTTCTGTTTTTCTAATCTTTTTTGCGGAGGAATTTACTGCTATATGCAATTTTGCCAAGCACATCAGTGAGAGAAATCAAAATCACCGCGACTATATGAGGGTCCATACTTGTGCTTAAAGTTTGCAAACTGATTTCACCTCTTATCTCATATAACAATTTAGAATTGCCTGGCCAGTGGTTACGTGGTATTGCAAACATGTTTTTTTAATCAAGTGGTGAAAAATTTGAACCACAAAAATCTGACTATACCTACATTAGGTGATTTCGTGCCAGCACTGCCTAAATGCTGAGTGTTACATTATATGAATCTTGCTACATCATACTTTAAATTTTTATGGTTTTTTTTAATGTATTTTGTAGAAAGAGGTCTTATGCTATAAAAAGTAGTTCTATCATACTTATATGCTTCCATTCATCCTTAGTTAGCTACCATAATCTGATAATGAATAATAATTTCTGTAACATGAGAGGTAGATGCTGTGATGTTTCTTTAACTTTTTTTTTTTTTTAAGTACAACTCGGTTGATTTCGACTCGGTTGATTTCGATCACTCCATGCTTTTCCATCAAGATTTTACCTAAACAATTAACCATTATTGCCGTTTCATATTGTGGTTTTTACTGTTTTTTGCTGCACTTTTGTATTTTGTTGATTGCCATACACTTGTTTCATCTGGACTTCTTTCCTTGAACATGTATTCTTAGCTGAAGTTTTGGTTGTTGTGCTGTTAATTCAACTTAACATTTGTAGTACAGCTTGATGACCGAGCTGTTGATGCAGTCTTGAATAAGTTATTCAAAAACTACAAAAAATGGTGTAAATTTCTGGGACGCAAGCACAGTTTAAGGTATCACCAACGATGAACCTTAATGCACTTGTTTGTTCTTCATTTTCACTATAATTTCTTACTCTGCCACCATTTCAGGCTACCTCAAGATAAACAGGAAACTCAACAGCGAAAGATTCTTTACATGGGCCTTTATTTGCTTATCTGGGGAGAAGCTGCCAATATTCGTTTTATGCCAGAATGCATTTGCTACATTTTTCACAATGTAAGGCTATTGTTTTTTTTTATCGACTCACAGACATCAGAATCATTTATTATATCTTATGTGATGACTTTTAACTGAAAGTAAATTATTAATGCTTTCAGATGGCTTATGAATTACATGGTCTCTTGGCTGGAAATGTGAGCGTTGTAACTGGAGAAAATATTAGACCTTCATATGGAGGCGATGATGAAGCTTTCTTAAAGAAAGTTATCACACCCATCTACCGGGTGATTGAGAAGGTACGTCTTCTTCCAGTAAATTTATTCTCTTTAAGATTTTACTTATACTAGCAGAGAAGTGAAAAAGAAAAGAAAAGTAGTGAAGTGATGATGTTGTTTCACCAGGAATCCAAGAAAAGCAACCAAGGAAAAGCTCCACATTCAGCTTGGTGTAACTATGATGATCTGAATGAATATTTCTGGTTTGTAAAATACATGCATGCTATGTAAGCTTAAGTCTAATTTTATTTGTATCATGACTCTTCATTGAAGTTATACATATGCATCCATCCAGGTCTCCTGATTGTTTTTCGCTTGGGTGGCCTATGTGTGATGATGGTGAATTTTTTAAATCAGTACGTGAATCAAAGGCTATGAAGGTAATACTAGAAAGTTTAAGTGGCCATCCTTCACATCATCATTGTCACATGGCAAGTGTCATCATTTCACAGATTATCTGCAGGGTGAACATCTTTCCCAGAAAACATCCAGCAAAAACACTGGGAAATCATATTTTGTGGAGACAAGGACATTTTGGCATATATTTCGTAGTTTTGATCGTATGTGGACTTTCTATGCGCTGGCATTGCAGGTTTAAATAACTGATAACTTAATTTTTTCTATGCCCAGAATTTTCAATGATCAGCAGCCTGAAAGCAGTCTGTCTAAACATTTTTACTACGAGAGTAAATTGATCACATTTTGATATTGTTTCAGGCAATGATAATCATAAGTTGGGGTGGTTATGCATTGAATGATTTTTTAAAAGATGATTTCCTCTACGACATCTCCAGTATTTTTATCTCAGCAGCATTCCTTCGATTTCTTCAGAGTATACATTCTCTTCAATCTCTTCTATTTTTTTGTTTGTAATAATTTTGCTTTCTCTTTTTATCTTATATATGTTATCCTTTTAAACTGGGAATGTAAATACCAACACATGAAAATCCAATTATTATTCTTTGTCATACTGGCCAATAGCAAAAGGCCCACATCTATTGTAAATAGCATGCTATACACTATCAATAAGTGAAACATTTATTTTATAATCGATATGACAAGACTATCTTTATAATAAAAAATAATTTACTAAAATAAAATTTATTATGTTCAACACAAACAATATATATATATATATATATATATGTATGTATATATTTATATACATAGATATTGTCACTACAGGAATTACTTCAATATTCATGAATTTTTGCAGAAATAAATCAATGCGATGCTATCTATTTTATTTGATATTCTGTTATGATTGTTAAATGAAATCTATAGAAGTGTTTGCATCAAAATTTGAATAAGAAGTGAAGGACAATCAATGTACAAAATATCTAAAGAATCTATTGCAAATATCAAGGATAACACTTATAACAAAGAAAGTTACATATATCCTTCAATTATAAAGTTTATTTGTCTAGTGTCTGATGCAAAGTTTTAAATTTTATTGGAACTAAACCAATTATCACCAAGTAAAAATCAATACAAATTCCCTGCAAATCAAGAACTCTATATGAATTGCACAAAGACACATAATGTTGAAAATCGGTTGCCACTAAGTTAAGAGCAACTTAGTCTGCATATGTTACCAAAAAGTTAACCAATTTTGTTTTAATCATTATTACGGGATAAAAGTAATAATAGTAAGCCTGAATGCATAATATATCCTAAAGCTTCATTAAAGCAAATCCAAAATCTAAAATTAGTAATAACTAATAATTTGGGTTAATCTATGTGTATGAGCTGAGGAGAAGTTTATAAGAAGATGGGGCTACCTACATGCTTTTCAACGTTTAAAGATGGTGAACCCAGTGAATGCTTGTGGATAGAAAAGTACATCTTCAAGAGAACTACAATTTGAAAAGAAAAATTGAGAAGGGAAAGACTAAGGATAAGCGGAGAAACACGAAGCTTATTGTTGTTGGATTCAAACTTCAGAGGGTAGCAGGGAGAATCTTGCAGTTATTAAGTTTTCAGCGGAGGAAGGAGATGAGGAGGGGATCCTTGTTGGTGGATTGGGAGGTAAGAGAGATAAGGCTTAGTGTATGCTTTAATTTTATTCCTCTTAAAGCAAGACCCACCCAGGCATGAAACATGTGATTTGCATGATAAAGAGCTTGGATCAGCAGAATTTGAGGTTTAGTGGTGTATGTTGCTCTAATCCCTGAAATCAAACCAGTCCACTAAAGTTGGTGAGTAGTATTCTTTTATTGTACGTCATGATTGTGACTTTTCATTTGTGGTTTAGATCTTTTCTTCTCTTTTGTTTACATGCATTTTTAAGCAGAACTATGTCGATTTTGCTGTTTTCTTTTTTGTAATGCTTAATTTATCTGATATTTTTTTTGTGATTCATCATAGTTGATTGTTGGTTGACTTCGTCATACTTACCATTGGTTTGTCCCTTCGATAGAATAAAGTTAAACGTTGGAAATTGTCAAGTTTCATTATCTCAAAGCTCAAAAAGCCCAATCATATCATACCGCCATGTCTCTCTCTTAAAAGCCTTCTGTTACCACATTATCATTTAAGGGAAATAAATTCAATAAAATATTCAATAAAAAGGCCCAATCATATCATAAATGCATTTACAAAACAAAATACATAAAGCTGATTGCAGTGGATCTAACTTTGAATAATATATATAGCTCAAATATTTCAACACGATATAGAGGGTATATTTTTTGTTGATAAAATTTTATGTTTTCTTGACCTTCTCATTTGAATATTTGTTTCACAAGTCTCGAGCATACAAAAGGGCCTAAGAATTCTCTGTGTAACATTTGGTTCTTCTGCCGTCCTTCATCTTAGCTCAAAAACATATGCTTATGTAACTTTTAGTTTGTTTAATTGTTTGAAACATTAAGGGATCCACCCTTTTCCAATTTTCTTTCACTCCAATAAAAGCTTCTTTAGGAAAAAAAGCCCGTTCGAGACATTATGCAAGGAAATTTCTTGACTTGACCACAGATGAGCAACCTGTAGATCACAGTGACTAATGAGTTACCACTATTTAAGTTTTACAACTCTTTTCTCAATAAATACATCATAAATATGATTTTGCACTTGCTGATTTCTTTTTATGTTCACTACTAACAGTTTACTTTCCATCATCTAATTTCAGGCTTGTTGGACTTTTTCCTTAATTTTCCTGGGTATCATAGATGGAAGTTTACTGCTGTGATGAGAAATGTTCTAAAAACAATTGTCAGTCTTGCATGGGCTGTTATTCTTCCTCTTCTGTACATGCGTTCAGGATCACCAATTACTTTACCAGCTAACTTAGATAGGTGGCTTGGTCGAGTTAAAGGGTTGCCACCATTATACCTGATGGCAGTAGCATTGTACATGCTCCCAAATCTATTAGCTGCTGTGCTTTTTATATTTCCAATGCTTCGACGGTGGATTGAAAACTCTGATTGGCTTGTAATCAGGTTTCTTTTATGGTGGTCTCAGGTGATGCTTCTATTTTTTCTTCGTGTTAATGGATCTGTAACTTATCAAGTATTTGGTGCACAGTTCTACTATTTTTCTTTAGGTCATGAGATGATTGGGCTAGGCTAAGCATGGTCCATTGCGTCTTTTTTCTCCTCTTGGAATGGTTTTTCTCCTAATATTAAATTTTTACTCACTATTTGCAGCCTAGAATATATGTTGGACGGGGTATGCATGAAAATCAATTTACTCTTTTCAAGTAAGGTTTTTTATCGGGAAAATAAAATTAACTATTCTATCATTTTGTCTTATTGCTATTTTAGTAATGTCCTCTCATTCCAGGTATACTCTATTCTGGCTGTTGCTGTTGAGTTCCAAATTTTCTTTTAGTTACTTTCTCCAGGCATGCTTTTGCTTTCTTAGACATCAATTAACTGAATTAAAATTATTACTTCTTATTAATTCACATTTTAAATTTCTATTTTTCATGCAGATAAAGCCTCTAATCAAGCCAACAAAAGATATAATGAAAGTTCACAATATTCATTATGCTTGGCATGAATTCTTTCCTAATGGTACTTTTTTCATTGCATTCCTCCGCTATCAAATTTTTATGCATGCATTTTCGTACTACTGATTCTACTTTCTATACAGTTAAAAACAATATTGGTGCTATTTTATCACTCTGGGTCCCAGTAATTTTGGTAAGCTTTATTAATTTCTGCAGTAATGACTGCTTTTTGCTTTCAGCAATGGTTACTCTTAACACTTGTAAACTTTTTGTCAGGTTTATTGTATGGATACCCAGATTTGGTATTCAGTTTTCTCCACTTTATATGGTGGTGTTTCTGGAGCCTTTGGTCGTCTTGGAGAGGTAACGCGTCTCCATTCTGAGAATTTTGCTTGCTACTCTTTTCTAAATCATGACTGCACCTTATTCGCACTCTTTGGTGTTGTCTATAATAGCTTTCATATTAGGGGTGTCAAAAATTGACCCGACACGCCAACACCTCTCGAATTCGACTTGAAAAAATCCAAGTTAGGGTTGACCCAAATATTTTTCAAGTTTGGTTTGGGTCAGAGAATTCAATCCATTTATTATTCTGGCCGGGTTCGGTTTGAACCCGAAAATCCAAACATGACCTGAATTAACATGAAATTTCGAGTCGGGTTTGGGTTACCGGGTCAAGCTCGGGATTGATTCTTAGTTTTTGACTCGTTTATAATTCATGTCGCGTTCGAGTTGACTCTATTTTGGCCGGGTCATTTTTGGGTCAGACCTGAACCTGACCCACTAATTCGAATTGACACTACTTCATACTTTTGGCATAAGAGCATGATTTCGAATAGATAAAATGATTGATGTGAAAATGTTCTTTTTGTTGTTTCGGAAAACTAAACCCTAATTTTATTTCCATGTTTTTGACTTGAATAATCTCACTGGGTTCTGATCATTGATAAAATATAAAGAACTATGAGACAATTCTGGGGAAGTTGATCTGCTTTTAATGAAAAGATGCACATAAAAGAAATTCAATTAATTTGTGTTTGAGTGAGCTATCTGTTTGTTGTGAAGTTACTATTTTGTATCCTGCCTGCATTCCTTCATCTTGTGCCTTCAACGTAGACAAATACAATTTTCTGCATATTTTACTATTATTCTGCTTTTACTTCTTTATTGAGAGGGATTTTTTTATCAACATATTGTTACTATTATTGCTAACAGAATTTCACTATTAAATAGATTCTTCTGAACGTGTTTTTGGTAATGCGAAGAAGGTCATCATTTTTTATTTTTTCTTTGGCAGATACGGACGCTAGGCATGCTGAGATCACGCTTCCATTCCTTACCTGGAGCTTTCACTGCTTGCTTGGTTCCTTCTGAGAAGAAACAAAAGAGGGGTTTTTCTCTGTCAAAACGTTTTGCAGAGGTACAATTGAGGATAAATAAAAATTTCTTAGAGTTGCAATACATTGGGTGGTTATATATTTTTCATTTTTTTAATAGGCTTCACCAAGCAAGAGAACTGAAGCTGCAAAGTTTGCTCAGTTGTGGAATGAAATCATATGCAGTTTCCGAGAAGAAGATCTTATAAGTGACAGGAAAGTCTTGAAATAAAACTATTGGAAAACATTTACTCGAGTATTAAATTACTTTTCTCTTTCTTTTATATTAATTATTCTGAAATAATCTTGTTAAGATAGTAATGAAATTTCAAGAAAAATCCAAACAAAATGAGAGAACAAACACAGTAGAGGCCGTAAAAACAAATTATACATAAGTTTACATGGTTTATTGAGTTCCACTTAAGTCTATGTTCACTCAAATTGAATAATCCATTAAGCTTTAAAAGGGATACATGGAGACATTGTACATATGAATAAGTTGGAGATTAAGAAGAAGATACTACTAGGGGTGCAAACAAGTCAAGCTGAATTGGAGCAACTGCTAACTTGAATTTTAGGTTGGTTAATTAATTTAGCTCGAGCTTAAGATAAATTATTTGAGTTCGAGTCAACTCATGAGTTGGTTTATTTATTATAAAAGAGAAAAAATAATTTTTATTTAATTTAAATGATTGCTGTAATAAAATGTCAAAAAGCTTAAGAAGTTAGAGAAATAATTAGAATGAGTTAATATAAGGAATTAATATATATATATATATATTTGTGTGTGTGTATGTGTATATGTATATTTGATACACCGCTAATAAATTTTCATCATTCAACACGAATCTCGATGTAATTTTTTGGGCAAGAAACATTCAAACTTTGATTAAGAGTCGTCCTGAGCTCCGATTTCTGCAAACTTATAGTCAAACTGATTGACTCGATGAGACAGACCTAATGATATAAAAGTCAGTCTAATCCGAGTCAAATCAAGCCCGAATCAAATCATTAAACCACTCTTGGAAGATTTTTGGAGGCATTTGAAAGTTCAAACGGATGTCGAATCTAGCGAGTTCATAGTCGAATCGAGCGTCTCGACAAGACGAATCCAACGAGCTCACGATCACTAAATTCCGACATCATTAAGACACTCGAATGTCCATCAAACGTCATCTGATTAAGAGAAGCTCTCTAAACCGTCCGATCAAAATGGTTCATATTCCTGCATTAATTGCATTCAAAACACTATAAATAGAGCCCACCCCTCACATGAAGGGGAGAGCTTAAGAGAGAACTTGGGGCTTTGGGAAGGAGCTCAAGTCCAAGATCATCATCGGCATTATCGATCGCCGTCGACCACCACTGACCATCGACAACCACCGTCAACCTCTGTCGACCACTGCCGACCACCGTTGATCACCTCCGATCACCGCTGACCTCCGTCGACCACCGCCAACCGTCATCAACTGGCGCCAGCAACCACTGAATGCTTTTCAACGTTTAAAGATGGTGAACCCAGTGAATGCTTGTGGATAGAAAAGTACATCTTCAAGAGAACTACAATTTGAAAAGAAAAATTGAGAAGGGAAAGACTAAGGATAAGCGGAGAAACACGAAGCTTATTGTTGTTGGATTCAAACTTCAGAGGGTAGCAGGGAGAATCTTGCAGTTATTAAGTTTTCAGCGGAGGAAGGAGATGAGGAGGGGATCCTTGTTGGTGGATTGGGAGGTAAGAGAGATAAGGCTTAGTGTATGCTTTAATTTTATTCCTCTTAAAGCAAGACCCACCCAGGCATGAAACATGTGATTTGCATGATAAAGAGCTTGGATCAGCAGAATTTGAGGTTTAGTGGTGTATGTTGCTCTAATCCCTGAAATCAAACCAGTCCACTAAAGTTGGTGAGTAGTATTCTTTTATTGTACGTCATGATTGTGACTTTTCATTTGTGGTTTAGATCTTTTCTTCTCTTTTGTTTACATGCATTTTTAAGCAGAACTATGTCGATTTTGCTGTTTTCTTTTTTGTAATGCTTAATTTATCTGATATTTTTTTTGTGATTCATCATAGTTGATTGTTGGTTGACTTCGTCATACTTACCATTGGTTTGTCCCTTCGATAGAATAAAGTTAAACGTTGGAAATTGTCAAGTTTCATTATCTCAAAGCTCAAAAAGCCCAATCATATCATACCGCCATGTCTCTCTCTTAAAAGCCTTCTGTTACCACATTATCATTTAAGGGAAATAAATTCAATAAAATATTCAATAAAAAGGCCCAATCATATCATAAATGCATTTACAAAACAAAATACATAAAGCTGATTGCAGTGGATCTAACTTTGAATAATATATATAGCTCAAATATTTCAACACGATATAGAGGGTATATTTTTTGTTGATAAAATTTTATGTTTTCTTGACCTTCTCATTTGAATATTTGTTTCACAAGTCTCGAGCATACAAAAGGGCCTAAGAATTCTCTGTGTAACATTTGGTTCTTCTGCCGTCCTTCATCTTAGCTCAAAAACATATGCTTATGTAACTTTTAGTTTGTTTAATTGTTTGAAACATTAAGGGATCCACCCTTTTCCAATTTTCTTTCACTCCAATAAAAGCTTCTTTAGGAAAAAAAGCCCGTTCGAGACATTATGCAAGGAAATTTCTTGACTTGACCACAGATGAGCAACCTGTAGATCACAGTGACTAATGAGTTACCACTATTTAAGTTTTACAACTCTTTTCTCAATAAATACATCATAAATATGATTTTGCACTTGCTGATTTCTTTTTATGTTCACTACTAACAGTTTACTTTCCATCATCTAATTTCAGGCTTGTTGGACTTTTTCCTTAATTTTCCTGGGTATCATAGATGGAAGTTTACTGCTGTGATGAGAAATGTTCTAAAAACAATTGTCAGTCTTGCATGGGCTGTTATTCTTCCTCTTCTGTACATGCGTTCAGGATCACCAATTACTTTACCAGCTAACTTAGATAGGTGGCTTGGTCGAGTTAAAGGGTTGCCACCATTATACCTGATGGCAGTAGCATTGTACATGCTCCCAAATCTATTAGCTGCTGTGCTTTTTATATTTCCAATGCTTCGACGGTGGATTGAAAACTCTGATTGGCTTGTAATCAGGTTTCTTTTATGGTGGTCTCAGGTGATGCTTCTATTTTTTCTTCGTGTTAATGGATCTGTAACTTATCAAGTATTTGGTGCACAGTTCTACTATTTTTCTTTAGGTCATGAGATGATTGGGCTAGGCTAAGCATGGTCCATTGCGTCTTTTTTCTCCTCTTGGAATGGTTTTTCTCCTAATATTAAATTTTTACTCACTATTTGCAGCCTAGAATATATGTTGGACGGGGTATGCATGAAAATCAATTTACTCTTTTCAAGTAAGGTTTTTTATCGGGAAAATAAAATTAACTATTCTATCATTTTGTCTTATTGCTATTTTAGTAATGTCCTCTCATTCCAGGTATACTCTATTCTGGCTGTTGCTGTTGAGTTCCAAATTTTCTTTTAGTTACTTTCTCCAGGCATGCTTTTGCTTTCTTAGACATCAATTAACTGAATTAAAATTATTACTTCTTATTAATTCACATTTTAAATTTCTATTTTTCATGCAGATAAAGCCTCTAATCAAGCCAACAAAAGATATAATGAAAGTTCACAATATTCATTATGCTTGGCATGAATTCTTTCCTAATGGTACTTTTTTCATTGCATTCCTCCGCTATCAAATTTTTATGCATGCATTTTCGTACTACTGATTCTACTTTCTATACAGTTAAAAACAATATTGGTGCTATTTTATCACTCTGGGTCCCAGTAATTTTGGTAAGCTTTATTAATTTCTGCAGTAATGACTGCTTTTTGCTTTCAGCAATGGTTACTCTTAACACTTGTAAACTTTTTGTCAGGTTTATTGTATGGATACCCAGATTTGGTATTCAGTTTTCTCCACTTTATATGGTGGTGTTTCTGGAGCCTTTGGTCGTCTTGGAGAGGTAACGCGTCTCCATTCTGAGAATTTTGCTTGCTACTCTTTTCTAAATCATGACTGCACCTTATTCGCACTCTTTGGTGTTGTCTATAATAGCTTTCATATTAGGGGTGTCAAAAATTGACCCGACACGCCAACACCTCTCGAATTCGACTTGAAAAAATCCAAGTTAGGGTTGACCCAAATATTTTTCAAGTTTGGTTTGGGTCAGAGAATTCAATCCATTTATTATTCTGGCCGGGTTCGGTTTGAACCCGAAAATCCAAACATGACCTGAATTAACATGAAATTTCGAGTCGGGTTTGGGTTACCGGGTCAAGCTCGGGATTGATTCTTAGTTTTTGACTCGTTTATAATTCATGTCGCGTTCGAGTTGACTCTATTTTGGCCGGGTCATTTTTGGGTCAGACCTGAACCTGACCCACTAATTCGAATTGACACTACTTCATACTTTTGGCATAAGAGCATGATTTCGAATAGATAAAATGATTGATGTGAAAATGTTCTTTTTGTTGTTTCGGAAAACTAAACCCTAATTTTATTTCCATGTTTTTGACTTGAATAATCTCACTGGGTTCTGATCATTGATAAAATATAAAGAACTATGAGACAATTCTGGGGAAGTTGATCTGCTTTTAATGAAAAGATGCACATAAAAGAAATTCAATTAATTTGTGTTTGAGTGAGCTATCTGTTTGTTGTGAAGTTACTATTTTGTATCCTGCCTGCATTCCTTCATCTTGTGCCTTCAACGTAGACAAATACAATTTTCTGCATATTTTACTATTATTCTGCTTTTACTTCTTTATTGAGAGGGATTTTTTTATCAACATATTGTTACTATTATTGCTAACAGAATTTCACTATTAAATAGATTCTTCTGAACGTGTTTTTGGTAATGCGAAGAAGGTCATCATTTTTTATTTTTTCTTTGGCAGATACGGACGCTAGGCATGCTGAGATCACGCTTCCATTCCTTACCTGGAGCTTTCACTGCTTGCTTGGTTCCTTCTGAGAAGAAACAAAAGAGGGGTTTTTCTCTGTCAAAACGTTTTGCAGAGGTACAATTGAGGATAAATAAAAATTTCTTAGAGTTGCAATACATTGGGTGGTTATATATTTTTCATTTTTTTAATAGGCTTCACCAAGCAAGAGAACTGAAGCTGCAAAGTTTGCTCAGTTGTGGAATGAAATCATATGCAGTT